CCTGAAACAGCCAGGAGCAGCTGGGCAGATTCCAACTATTGACCATGACACCAATCACATAGTTAGTGAAACATGCCAGATAGTATTCATGGCCAGAATTGCATAAGGAAAAGAGGGGAAAAGTAAACTACTACTTTAAAACTGGAACAGCTCAAGATGACTTAAAAATGACTGTGTCCCTATGGGTTGGGGGTCGAGATGAAAGTAATAACATGAGGAGGTGGCAGAAAAATACAGTGATCAGGGTGCAAGTGGGCTTCCTTGTGCAGCTGAGTGGCTAGTGGAAGAATAGACTGCTGGACTAGATGGGCCAGGGATCCAATCCAGCAGGGCACTGTCTATGTTGCTATGTATATTTGTGGGGGGTGGGAGAAGAGCCCTAAGATTCAACTCTTCGGATTTGAATCGGGAGGCCAAATCTACGTCCTGTACAATGGAGATTGGCTCACTGCTGCATATTTTTTTTAAAAAGGAAAAACCACAGGATATGAAATCAATTTCTATAATGTCATATTGAAATAGTATTACCTTAAGTGGTATAAGAAATACAACAAACAGTGGAAACGTCTATTGGAAGAGCTGTGTGTGTGTGTGTGTGTGTGTGTGTGTGTGTGTGTGTGAGAGAGAGAGAGAGAGAGAGAGAGAGAGAGAGAGAGAGAGAGAGAGAGAGAGAAGCATGAGCTAGTGGAGTTTGAAGGGGGAATGTGGTTGCAGCCCAGGACCCAGACATAGGATTTATCAGGCTGACAAAGCTTCATTCTTCATGTTCAAATTAAATAAACAGCCTTCTCCCCTGCTCTATTCAACTTTCCCTGGGGGTTAATAGGATGAGAAATAGTAGAAGCTTGGGGAGGGGAAGGAACAGAGGTCATCTCTGCCTAGGAAATTTAGGATCAAGTAAACTTTTTAACCGGCATGCTTGGCTTGGCTTGGCTGGGCTTGTATGGGGAAGCTGCTACTACTTCAGCTTTCCTTGGAAGCTTTATTAAGGCTTGAATAATAAAAAGGAAGTTAACTTATTGTAGATTTTCTTTATCGTATGTCATAATCCAAGAGGTCATTGAAATATAAAACATTTTAATCTTGCATCTTAAGAATGATCAATAGGAAAAGTGGAAGAATGCATTTGTTCTGTGCTCTTTAAGGACCACTTTCTAGAATGATGTCATCCGAGTTACTGCTCATGACTCTGAAATGCAGAGTGCTGCTGTGAAGTGGACATAATGAAGGCACCAAACCATGAATAAACTAAAAGGGCAGTATTTGGCCATCCTGTTTTAGACTTGGAAGCTAAACAGGGAAAGTCTTGGTTAATATTTGGAAGATCACCAAGAAAGTTCAGGGCAGCAATCCAGATTGGCAATTGCAAATCAACTCCCATCACATTAACAAAAAAATACTGCATGATTGAATCTAGCTTGATTTTAAAAGGCATCTTTTAATGGAGAGTAAATACCAGGAGTGACTCATTTACCTGAAGCAACTCTTGACTAGATGACAACATAGCAACGTTAATCTGTGGTCCTCTTTAGTTGAGGCATTCAGTCAGCTACCATTCATATTTCCATGGATGGTCCCTTTGCAAAGCTTCCGGGCTCATTCACATAACATCAAGAACATCAGGAATGTTTTATGTCAGATGGAGCAACGGAGGCTGAAAAGCATTTCCTGCTGGACAGAGTGGCTTAGTTATTCAAAACTAGATGAAGACATGGAAGAAGAGACTGGCAATAAATAGCAATTGGACTTACAAGTACTATTTCAGTCCCAATCCTTTGTGGGGTGGGTGGGTTGGAAGTGGGAGGCCAGGGGATAGCAGCCAGAATGCAGAATCAATTTCCTTTCCAACTATCTAGTCGTGAAAGATGATAGGTCAGTGGTCCTCAACCTGTGGGTCGGGACCCCATTTGGGGTCGAACGACCATTTCACGAGGGTCACCAAACAACGCCGTCCGCCATTTTTTTCCCCTTTTCCTTAGCTGTGCTACTCCCTCTTATTCTATGGGCTTCTGAAAGCCAATAGAATAGATTCTATTCAAGAAATGGCGATGTATGCTATAAGTGGTTGGGGGTCACCACAACATGGGGGAACTGTATTATGGGGTCGCGGCATTAGAAAGGTTGAGAACCACTGTGATAGGTCTTCTTCTTGACCCAATCCTGCCACTTGAGAGAAAGCAGCCCCACCTCTGTCTCGGTGTTGGATTGAGAATGCAAGGGCACTTCCTTGGAATTTGCAAAGTCTGTGAAATCTTTATTCCTGAGGTACTTTATAATGAAATTTGTTCTTAATTTTCACATTCCCAATGAGCAGGTTATCTTCTGAACTTTACTTTTCATTTTCTCATTTTTTAAAAAATAATTCTCTTTTTTTCTGGCAAGACATGCCAATTCACTTATAAAAATAATTCCAGTTGTAGGAAGGTAATTCCTCTCTAGGCCCCATCTCTCTCAACTTCTGCATTTAATTCCTCTATAATTTAATGATTTACCAAGGCTTGTCTTTAAACTGCAAGTAAACCACTGGCTCCTCCTGACCACAAGTGATTATATGTGGTATGTTCAATCTAGTTAACATGAATTATGAATTTTGAACTACGACTTTGCTGCCTTAAAGCTATAGTTTTAGTTATCAGTTTTCATTCTTAGGCTTCTTCTTTTTTTGGGGGGGGGGTGTAGATAAAGCCACAATCCAGCATCCAAAGAGCACCGTGAGCTAGGCTAAATAAACAGTGAGTAGTTCACAAGCTAATGTATTACAGTATTTTGTTCCAGAAGTGGGAATTTGTCCCTTTACATACTAAGATTCATACATCTGTAGAATGATTCTGGGAATTCAGTAGGGCTGACGTGGATGTGATACATGAGACGTAGAGGTAGCTCCTCAAGGAGCTTTCTCTGACTACAACTCCCAAAAATGTCCAGCTAGCACAGTTTTGACTATGGTGGCTGAGAATTTGGTTGTTCTGAACACATGCAGAACATACTAGGTTAAGACAGCCCTAGAAGGATGTGTAATCCAATTAGAAGGCTGCTTGTTTATGCAGACCCTTTTGCTCTAGTACAGGGTCTTCAAACCTGGCCCTTTTATGACTTGTGGACTTCAGCTTCCAGAATTCCTCAGCCAGGCACGCTGGCTGAGGAATTCTGGAAGCTGAAGTCCACAAGTCATAAAAGGGCCAAGTTTGAAGATCCCTGCTCTAGTATGTGGTTGATATGTGGATAGGTAAAAATAGTTGACTAGCAGAACAATACCGCTAACAGAAAGTCAGTGCAGCTTTTTTTTCTTTTATGAAAATGATGCCATTTATGCATGCAAGAAATGGGAGTGGTCAGGTGAAGCAATCTTCAAAATAATTTCTATTTCAAATTCTGTTTTTGAAATATCTGAAGTAGGGAGACATTATCCTAATTCAACAAGGAAATGCTTTTAAGATTTTGCCTGCTCTCCTTATTACCCTATCAAATAATATTATAATGAGAAATATGCAAATTAAGACAAAACTGTGAACACTTCTGAATACATTTGAACTTGGAGAATTTTCCTGTGAATTTCCCTCTTCTGCTCTTTCCACTCTGTTTTTTCCCTGTTTCTTACCTTCAAAGTGCCAAAGGTTGACGTATTTTTGCACTGCAAAAGATCTAAACACAATAGTGAAGTTAAATAGCATAAAGTTACAAAAGAAGAGTTTACTATAAAAAGTCACAATGTTCTTATTCTTTTGTTGGTTATCTGGGAACCACTTGTTAGATAGATTTATTATTGTCATCGACCAACAAATTGTGAACAAATAACATACAAATAACATGTTTTGTTGCTGTATTTGTGTGATATACTGGCACCCAGTGGTGCAGCAAGGAAATGCTTCCTTAATATAATTGGAAAATCTGTATCAGATGTATCTCTATTAGGGCAGTACTTTTATTTGGCCAACCAACAGTTGCAGCATTTGAATTCTTAAGAAAAATTGGAAATTTGATGCTTAAGTGAAGAATATGCCTTTAGTTAGATCCAAAGGAATGCCAAATACTTTTTATTCTGTGTGCTGCCTTTTCACTAAAAATCAAATTAACAATTAGCGTACTAGAAAAAGATGTAATTGCACCCCCTCCAAATAAAGCCTCCTTCAAATGTTTCCTGTAAGATCCCCCCCCCCAAATGGTCCCTGTAAGAATGTCCAAGGATATAGATGATGCATCAGATTTTTCTCTGTTATCCTCCAATGTAAACCTTTGATGTTTAAGGTAGTAGATACAGCTTGATTAAAGAAAACCCAGGAAGAAAATTCAGTCAAAAATATTATGCACTGAATGGGCCACAAGATGGTGCTGATCTGCTACAAAGAGGATTTCTCTGATTCAATTATTATTGCAAAACACATTAAAAAGAAAAATACTGTAACCATGGGGATACACTTGATGTATGATTCAAGGCTGTCATGAAAGAAGGTCTCAGTAACATAATTGCTAAATTAGAACAGAGATATAAGTAATGCTGGATTTAAGAATTTCGCAGTAAAATAAGTTTAATATTTTGCTTTTGCCTAAAATAATAACTATTTATCCATCCTTGAATCTTCTTTGGTCTCTTGGAATAATTCTAACCATTTATCAGAGCTGCTCCTTTTCCCAGTGCAGGCATAGCAACTCCACTAAAAAATTGATTTAAGTTTTAAACGAAAAAGCTTTTTTCTCTGCGAGAAGGCAGGATTGGAAGGAGGCCATATGTATTCAAATTCTGATTTGTCTGACTTTTAGACTGGCAGGGAGGCTGCTATGCTGGGAAGGTACGCTGTCTACTCATCAAAATACAGGTAGTCCTCGATTTATGACTACAACTGAGCCCAAAATGTATGTTGCTAACTGAAAGATTTGTCAAGTGAGTTTTGCCCCATTTTACGACCTTTCTTCCTGATTCTGGCTTAATTTTTAATCTGTACTTTGTTTTAAAAGTAAAGTACATTTTTTTCCCCTGACAATATTGTATTTCTTTCCGGCAGCCTCAGGACCTGGAAGCATCCACATCCCACACTTTCAAAGTGAAGAGTTTCAAGAAAGTAAAACCATGTGGGATATGTCGTCAGGCAATTACCCGGGAAGGTAGTACCTGCCGAGGTGAGTGATGGTGGTTATGGGAGGGCAAAGTTCAAGTTTCCGTACAAAATATAACTACAGGTTGTCCTCGACTTATAACAGTTCCTTTCGTGATGATTTGAAGTTATGACGACCTTGAAAAAAAAGGGACTTATTACCTATCCTCGAAGTTACAAGTGTCACAACTCCCCTGTGGTCACGTGATCATCATTTGAGAGCTTGGCAACCAGCTCACACTTACAACGGTTGCTGTGTCTTGTGGTCACGGGATTACAATTTGCAACGTTCCCAGCTGACTTCTGACAAGCTAAGTCAAGCGGGGAAGCTGGATTTGCTTAACAACTGAAATAAAAATGGTAGCAAAAATGACTCGCTTAATGATCACAGTACTCCATTCCAGTTGTGGTCATAAGTCGAGTACTATTTGTAGTTTTCTGGTAGAGAACAAATTATAGAATTGTACTGGCCAAAATCATGTGAGTCAATGTTAGTCCTCCCCCATCAGAGAAATGCTCCCGGCATGGAAATAAAGAAAAATGTCTCCATTTCCCTTTGTAGATTAATATAATCAGAGAATGCTAAATGCTAATTTATGGCTAAATGTTTCTGAAAACCTGGATGCAAGACCTTATATTTGAACTTACATCCCATATGTGGGCTTCTTATGGATATTTGCTCAGATAGTGTGTGAGCAGAATTTCCCTTGTGAAATTATAGCAAAATGATTTTTTTTTTTAAAAAAAATAGCACTGCAATTCTGCAGGGGTTGGGGGAAATCTGTTACCTGCTGGCAGACTGGAACTAGGGGAAGGGGTCTATTCTTCCTATATCAGCTTATTGTATTGCCATAATGGCTTGCTTCCTCTTGTCCTATTCCTGCTTCTTTCCTTCACTTCATTAAGGTTCTCCATGTTTTGAGGGCAGGGAATTATAGGGCAGCTTCACAAAACATTTGAGGAGCTGGGGATTGAAATCATAGAAGACATTTCCACAAGTAGCCATCTACTGTGTTTCCCTAAAAGTAAGGCCTACCCCGAAAATAAGCCCTAGCTTGGTTTTGGGGGGTAGGCCTAATATAAGCCCTACCCCCCAAAATAAGCCCTAGTTTTGGGGTGAGGCATACATTTAAAAATCAAGCTAGGGTGGGGGTAGGTGTGTGGATCACACCCACTTACCTTGCAACCAGGCTTCTCCTTGCCAGCCCACTTCTTCTGCGGCATCTTCTGCAATCAGGCCTGCATTTCTCAGTCATAGCCCTTTCCGGAAGGCCTCTGCAGTCAAGAACCAAGGTATGGATTGAATTCATAGTTTGGTACTCGGCTGCATAGGCCTTCCAGAAAGGTCTGACTGCAAAATGCAGGTCGGAATGCAGCTGCAGAATGAAGCTGCTCCTTCAGCCCAGAAGAAGTGGACCGTCTGGGCTGGGCTGTCGGTGCCGGTGGTGAGTAAGACATCCCCCCAAAATAAGACCTTGTGCCTCTTTTGGAAGAGAAAAAAGATTAATTAATAAAGATAATATCATGGCTCTCAGTCTAAGAAGTGAATTGTGTGCTATAGATTTTTCTGTGACCAAATTGTTAATTTTCAAGATGCCACAAGATGCCACCTTCATCAGTTTTGCAGCTGGCCACAAGATGCCACCATTTCCACATTTTTATCTTTGTGCAGCACTGTGGGATGAAAGGAGTAGACCAATGAAGGAGAATGAAATAGAGTTATGGCTGATGAATTGGCTAACAGTTGCAGCAGTAAAAGTACCTAAAGGAATACAGTGATGATCTTTTAAACATTTTGTTCAATCTTTTTTTTTCCCCCTTGCCAGGAAGATCTGGACATGATCAGTATGGTGAATAATTCACTCCAATTAGTTGGCATAGTCAGAAATATGGATAGACTTGCAACTGTTTCCCCAGAATAGTATGCCCCGTTTTGGTTACTTCAGAATTGTTGGATTTCATATCCCATCATTCATAGCTGACTGCAAAAGTAGCATGATGGGACAGCAGATGATACTTTAAAAAAACAAAACACCTGACCCTGCATTGATTTTTAGCAGATTATTTATCTGCTTTTTATCATAATAGAAATGATGGGAATGTCTCAGAATGTACATCTAGAAATGAAAAAGCAAAATCCAGCTAAGTGCATATTACCTCTATAGGTTATCTCTATAAGTTTATCCAATCCATTTTGCCTGCAGTTTTAACTAAACTACAGTTATATGCCCTAATCTATACCTTGCTGAATGCTGTATGCAATTTGCAACTTTAAAGTTGGAAATTTTTAATTTTTTTAAACTGCAAATTTTAAAAATGGAACTGTACATTTTTCTGCCTAATTTTATAAAATCTCAAACTAGTGTAGAGATGAGATAGAACAAACTTAAAATGAGAACATGGAGAAATGAGAAATGAGCACAACTCAACTAATATGCCCATTTGTACAATCAGCAGCAGCAACAGCAGCCAAAAAAAAAAATCAGCATTGATGTAGCATAATCATAAAAAAGCAAATAGAAAATAATATCCACACATGTAGCCAACTTATTTGGCAAGACAAGTGATGTGACTCAGAGTTAGTCTCTTTGTGAATATAATGCAAATGTTTCAAATGGAAAATGTACTACTAAATGATCTCAAATGAGGGAGGTGGTAGTGAAAGATCTAACATGTTAGAAGCACATGGTAGAAATTATAGATGAACATAAACACTACCAAATGGATTTCTACATGTGGTTAGTCTAACATTTAGACCTAACTTGCAAATCTCTGAAGTAGCTTATAAAAATGTGATTCACATTTAATACAGTCACATGAGGTATTTATTTGTATAGGTGTTGCTTATGACTACTGACTTGTTTAAAGATGCCTGATTTGTTGCTAGACCAGATTTGTGTAACATTTTTTGCCAGAAATCTGTGGACCCAGAAGATGCTGAATTCTTATGGCACTAATGTTGGTTTCCAAGTTGAGTTGTTGGTAATTCAAAATGTGGTAAACCTTAGGATGTACTACAAAAAAAAAATACAAAAATAAAGAGGAAGCATGTGTTTCTGCAGCTATAATCAAACACTGAAAATGACACATTTCTCATACCCAACAAAATTCAGATTTTCTATTTCTATTATTCTCTGATGTCTAAACCAGAATTTGTGAATTACAGCACACACACATATGGAGAAAATGGTAATTGCTTTGTGTCATGTAAACAAAGTGTGATTTCTGAATTTTATCTGTCGATTCAGAAAAGTGAAGAAAAGTAAAGTTTTTTAAAAACAGCTGCCATAGGCATATAAACCACAGAAAAAAAAGCAGTAATTTGGTGACTCTCCTGATGCTTCAAGCATTTCCATGTTGTGTGGAGCTGATGGAAACAAAAGTTTACAGCATCCAGTTTGTACTCTTGTGTTAAAGAGTGATGAAGAATTGGTTTTCTTCCTTCTCTCAAAGAGAGGGTAATAATTGGTTTGGAAGAGGATATAAGACTCTGTTTTCTGAAGTTATTTTCTCCTTAATGACTTTTAGCATTTTAAAACTTTACCCAGCCATCACTAAACCAATATGATAGTATTGAAGACAGGCTTTAGATCAGGGGTCCCAAACCCCCAGTCTGTGGACCGGCACCAATCTGCAGCATGACAAAAACCAGGCCGTGCAATCAAGTGAAGCCCTATCCGCGGGATGCAGGCAGCACACAAAACCACGCCCTCTCCGAGCCACGGAAAAATCTCTTTTCACGGAACGGGTCTCTGGTGCCCAAAAGGTTGGGGGCTGCTGCTTTAGATCACCATGATAATAGTTGGGTGACCGTGTATTACTAATGAGAAAGCAGACTTAGTCTCAAAGGTAGATATTCCCTGATTGTTCATGAAATATATGAAGGTAAAGAAACAGGCTGTTCAGAAGGCAAAATTACAGACTAGGAGTGGCACCTTGCAGACAATGTAAACTTTTTGTTATAGAGTTGATTGCCTTTCTGAAATTTTGGAGGATAACAAATTTTTGGCAATAGCAGACAGGGGACTGGGTACAGTTGGATAATTACATTGCAAAAAGGGGATGTTTAAATTAAATTAGGGAGCTATTGCTATCAGGGACAATGCCCATCCGTTTTTCAAATATTTGATTATTAAGTGCAAATCTATCAAGGTAAAGTTGTATACTGAATGGGAAAGTATTTAGACCCTTATTTGCAATAGCCCGATTGGCTATGTTATCAAACAGTATCAAGAAAGATGTTCACATATATACATAGTTCACATTTACATTTCTAGTGTAATGGGAGGGCAAAGTGATCTGCATAAAGTTTTCTGAATAAGAAACTAAACACAGTATATGTTTGTAATCTGTATATGCTTTGTGGGGGAACCCACCCCCAATTTAATAGATAATTCACATTCATTCAAAAATATGAAAAATTAAAGGTCTCTTTCCACGAGTTCTTGGAAGAGGCATCATATAAATAAATATCTGGCATAAAAGGAACTAAAAAAAATAGGCAAGATTTTTGAATATAATACTATTTTCAAATACAAAAAGCTCCAACTTATTTTTTGGCATGCCATCAGCTAAAGTTTTTAATGTCTTTCCAGAAGTTTGAACCAATCTGGAATAGTGGTTTGGCCTGTGCTGTTTAATAACAGCAATGGCCATTATTCACATCTTTACACTTCAGTATTTTTTAACATTTCATTGCTTTTCAAAACCTCCACTCTAGCTTGAATTTTAGCTTATATACAAATCCGGTGGTTATATCTCTACCAAACGTCTTATCGTTTCAGCAAACGTTTATCTATCCTTGGCGTGCAAACTGCAGATGTGTGGAAAGCCAGAAAGGGAGACAAATTTCTACAGTGAAATAGATTTATGTCTGTTTGTAGAAGATATACAACATCCTGCAATCAGCTGAGATTTCCTGTTGCAGTATACACAGCAAAATAGATGTACATCTTACTTTTTTTAACATGCAGTCAACTTGTGGGCAACATGGAACTTCTGCTGTGGACGTACTAAAGTTGCATG